ATCTTCCTAGCTTCCCCCAGAGTCGCTACCAATATCCTAGCACAATAAATCAGTTTCAGTAGATTTTGTCCATTAATTACAGTGTCTGCTAAACTGTGTTTTTGCAATATTGTTTAGTATTCCATAATCTATAGATAATCTGATTTTAAATGATTTCTGGTAACTGAAAAATAGAAAGGTAAATTTTGTGCAAGCATTGCACAGCAGCTCAGCCAAAGCGCACTCATATTCAATGACTATCTTGTAGGCCAGCTAGGTTAGTCTATAGTAGCAAAAAGTATGTGGCAGCTTCTTTTCCAACTAACAAACGTTATTAAAAGATATAAAACCTTTCTGAGCTGCAGCTCATTTCATGTAGAATGGATAGATTACATCAGTTTCCATCCTGCATCAGTCTAGTCATACGATGCATTTGATAAAGTGAGCTGCAGCACACATTATGCCCTTTAATAACTTTTTAGTTGGAAAAAGTTTTACCAGATGCCTAGTTAGACCAACAAAACTTGAAATAAATGTAGCGTTTAAAATATCTGTACCAAAAGACAGTTAAAAATCCTTCCTAGATCCACTGCAGTCAGAATCTGTACAAGGCAGGACCAGACTCAACAAGATACAAGTTGGCCGTTTCTGCCCCCACACCTAATTTTGTTGTACATTATCAAGAACCATCCTCTGATTTATTCTTACAGCACAAAGCACAGCAAAATACAGATTTGTGTCATCTGTCCTCCCAAACTCAGAAAGGGTGGGGGGAGTTATCAACTTTCATGCTAACAGATATGGTTCAGTAGAGACTTTCTTTATACCAAGCTGCTTTATGTGAGTACTTGGTCCCAAGAGACTCTATTCCTAATAAATATCTTTTTCTAATACAGAAGCTAGGAATCTGCTAATTAAATATCAAGCAATGCCATTCATCAAAGTAACTATGTTGGAATTGTAGTTTAGCAACATCAAACCCACTGAATATAATTTTAATGTTTAGGAATGTTCAAATATAGAAAGTCTTCAAAACTGTTATAGTAAATGGTCCCGTATTTCTTGATACCCCATAATTCTATGACATTTCTTTATACCATGATTAAAAAGGTAACGTTTCTCTCAAATCCTGGTAACTGCTGGAAACAACACGGAAGAGGCGCTATGTTTTTCCAAATTATGTTTAAGGTACCATTTGCTTGGGATCCATAATCACATTTTCTTTTATCCAATAATTATAAAAGAAAATACACACTACTGAGAAAACCTGCACTAAAAAAAGAGATAATTTATTTTCCACCTTTGGTTAGTTACATACTATTATACATGGGAAAGAAAAAGACAGAAGATATTGTTACTATGTGGTGGTCATCTAGATAGTTAACTCATATAAGGTATCTTTATTAAATTATGCCTCTAGATGGAATTCACAGTACATTAAACCAAGATAACAAGATTTTGTTTTGCCATTTTTTCTTGAATAGCAAGATGTATAACCAAATGTGCTTTAATACAATGCTAAACTCTATATTTATTGCAATGTATTGTAAAAGAGCTTTAATTTCCTACAAACACTTTAAAAATCATTCAAAATATGTTTCACATGGTTTCTCACCTGTCGTTCACAATAAGCTTTCATTAGTTTGCTAAGTGGTGTATGCCTTTTAATCTTAAATTGCACCACAGATCCATCTTGCCCTGCAACCTTCAGATTAATATGATCGTTATTTTCAGTCTTCACTCCTTCCTATAAATGGGGGAAGAGACAAAATATTAAAAGCAATTTATTTCACCTAGTAAATGTCATCAAGTTCAATATTCATATTACATCTTGTAGTTGTAGGACTGCTGAAGGACTAACCATTATAATTCTCAAATTCAGAAATAAAATTAGCTAGTTATCAACTTGTAAACAAAATTCAGCCAGAACAGATAATGGTCAGATAATTACAATAAATCCCATGCTTTATGTTTTAAACAATATAAGTTAATTTGATAAACATACTACTATGGATATACAGCAATGCTAAATTAACAAGGTTCATTACAGTCACACAAACTTACATGGGAATAAATTCCACTGAATTCATCAAACAAATTAATGATGGACATGCATAGAGCTGTTTTGGAAACCAGAGTGACATTGTTAGTATAGTAAAATGAATTATTTCCCCTTTTAAGGGGAACATCTATGTAGATTCTCAATCATCCAGGTTATGGTTATCCCAAAGGTGCTTTTTCCAAAAGGCATCTGGAGGTTCTTGGTTTTGTTCTGAGTTAAAACTGAAGAAGCTTCATGGATGAGAAGTGAAACTGTTTCAGAGAAAAAAACAAGGAAGTCCACCACTGCCTACTGGAAAAAGCACCTTTGGGACATTTTGAAAGGGAATTTTTAAAGATAGCAACTTTGACCTTTAAAGAATTAAAGTAGTATTTCTTGGAAAGCTATAACTATTCATTGGATTTTAAGTTTAGTGCACTGGTTGCCAATACCATTTTTAAGTAAGCTAAAAATTAAGTTATTATTCTAATATATCTAATTTAATGTACACAATTCTCAAACACAGCTTATAAATTTTATGCTTCTTAACAAGGGAAGCATATAAAACTAGCCCAGTTTTTGTTTTTTACCAACTGCTTTATATTACTACCTCTTAAAATAAGCCTAATTTATTAATTCTGGTAAGATTTAAGATAAGAGAATATGTTAACATTCTAACAAGATTCAAATAAAGCCCGAACACCTTCTACTAAGTGATTCTTAAACTCTGAAGCTTTCCTTAGACAAGGCACCATGGAAAGGAAACAATACCAAATAATTGGACTAGCATAAAGAAACTGCAAATAAGTCTTCATGCAAAAATGTTTTACACCTTTTTTTTTTAAAAAAAGCACTTTTCTAGCAAACTGCAATGCTACCCCACGGGAAAGTGGAAGATACACTGTAATTTCAGTTTAAAAGGTACCGTTTAACCTAAGTACAACCCTTCTTTAAAACAAGACTGTGCAGAGAACTTTAAGAGGCATCCCGTGCCTGGGGAGATCGATGACTGTGACCCTGTTTGTCTCTATTCACAGCATGCAGAACTCTACATCAAGCAATCTGATGGCTTTCCTCCAATGGACTTTAAAAATCCCCCCCCCCCCGCAGACACGCGTTCAACCCACTTCTGTTCGGAAACCCCACTCGCTCCCACGGCGGAGCATTTCTCCCCTCTCCCAGAAAACACGCACCAACCACCCCGCCGCCCCGATCTCGCCTCCCTAACACACTGCAATGCACAAAGCCAGCCTCCTAACATCCCGTCTCCTTCGGAAAGGACTCCTTTCTCCCACCTCCTTCAGCGACAAAGCCTTTTTTCTCCCCGACCTTTCCGCGAGTCCCAGAGAGAGAGCGCGCTCTCCGAAGCCATCATCGCAATTTTGGCGCCTCCAAAGTCGTATTTAAAACGAGGAGGAGGAGGAGGAGGAGAAGCTGATCATCGGTTATCGCTGGCATGAAAGGAGGAGGGGGGTTTGGGGGAGGGATTACCTGCTACTGGACGGCTCCCGAAGCGCGTAGAGCGGATGCGAAAGAAGCAAAACACAAAAGAGGCCTACCCGCTCCCAGTCCGCAAGCCGCTGGACGGCGCCCGGCACGAGAGGGACTAGCGCCTATCTTTTTTTTTTTTTTTGAAGGAAGGCGTGGGAAGGGAAGAGAGCGTATCCCAACGAAAGGCGACGCGGCCTCACGGCTTCGCAAAGTCAAGAGCGCTCCCGATTCCCACAATCGGGGGAAAGGAGGAACCCCTTTTTTCTCGAAAGAGCGCCCTTATTCCTCCCTCGCCCTCCGGAAAGAGCCCAGACCGAGACAGGGAGGGGGAGGGGGAGGGGAGGAAAATGGCGCGCAAGACCGGCGCGGCAGAGCCTGCGCTGCGCTCTCCCCCTTCTCCTCCTCCTCCTCCTCTTCCCTCCCCCTCCTCCTCCATACCGGCCCGCAGCCCTTTTTTCTCTCTCTCTCCCTCGCTCACCTTGGGCTTCTCGTCAGCCATGGCGAGTCGGCGGGGTCCGCTCCGCTCCAAGCACCTCAGAGTAAGTGGGGAGGCGGAAAGATGAAAAAGAGACCGCAACGGCCGAGACAGAAAGACTGGGGGAGGGGGCGAATGAACGCGCACGCAATGCCGCGGGGTCGCGCCTTGGCTTGCGAGAGCGCGCACGCTCTGCTTTCCCCTCCCCCTTAAGCCGCTTCCCCATTGGGCTTCGGCTTACGAGAGCGCGCAGCTCCGTTACATAACTCAGAAGAGAATGGCGGAGCGAGGATAAAGCCGGAGTGCGTGCGCGCACCCAGGGGTATCGTCCGCGCCCCTGTTTAACGTGCGCGCACCCTGCTGGGCGCAGGGAGCTTTACTCGCTCGCGAAGAGGGCATTGTCTTTTCAAAATGGCCGCCGGGCCTGTGTGGTTGGAGAAGTCACCCTTTATGGTCTTCTAAATAACTTTGCGTTATTTGTAAATTACAGATAATGTGTTTGCCCTGTAATTGGCTTTAATTGGTTAATGGACTAAGTATGTTTATTCTCACTGTCTCCGTTTTATGTCCCCCATTTAAAACCACACAAAAGTTAACTACTGATTCTCCCAAGTAACACAAGGTATAGATACCAACTCACATAGCCTAGATTTTGTTGCAGGGGCTTATGTCCCAAAATAACTCATTATGTGAATAGTAAACTTGTCAGGTCATACTATTTAACCTGTAATGCTACAAAAGTACATCATGTTATTTAGCATATGGCATATCACATATGGACTAGCAATATGTATTAACATTTCACCCAGATTAGTAAAACACAATAAAATATAAATGTTACAATGTTCAAAATGTTCAATTACCAATATCTAGGCCATCTAACAATTGAAGTGCAACATTTGAATGAAAAAAATCATGCTGGACTGGTATATGCCCTCAGCTTACATCCAGTCATGATGTGATCTACAGTTTGATGTGGGACTCCACAAGTCACACTGAAGGGAGGATACTAAGCCCCATGTAAACAGTGAGTCCCAGCAGACATCGTGTGAGGTGCAAATCCTATTCAGGATTGTCCATTGCTGATGTGGTAGTTCAAAGCCTGGTGCTTTTTTTGTGGGGTCATTTATATGTCTTCCTATGTGTCGGCATTCAGTGACCCATTGGTTTCCATTGGGAATCTATGTTAAAGTTATTGGACAGATATTGTGCAAGTTCCTGGATCTGAGTCTGGCTGATAAATGAGGAAGGTTGGCATTCATCAGTAGGAGTGAGTTGTTCATAATTTTGCTCTATTCTCTCACTAATGCATTTTGCCTTCGTAAAGCTGGCAGCACTATATAGCTCAGAACAGGGAGCCAGCAAGTTGAAGTGGTTTTAGTACATACATGTAGAATCTTCATGATGTTGTTGAGACTGGATTTTAACTTAACTAGTATGGCAGTTTTTAAGCCATACAGGGCACAGTATTATGCTGCATAGTAGACCAGCCCTAGTGCTAATCACCTGAGGCTGGCAGCTGAAGCTCCCCATTTAATTCCACATAATTTCTGGAGTATGTTGTTCCTAGTATTGATTTTTGCCACAGTATTCTCTAGATCAGGGATATCAAACTTGTGTCAGCATGGTGATGTCATGTGACTATCGTGACTTTTTCCCCTTTACTAAATGGGGCATGGCAAGCGCATGATGCATCTGGCCTGTGGGCTGCGAGTTTGATAGCCATGCTCTAGATGTATTTTAGAGGAGAGAGTCCAGTCCAATGTTACTCCAAGGTACTTTGGATGGGGATTGTAGAAGAGTAAGTTGTTGTTTAAGTAGACCGTCAAGGCTTCATATGCTAGTTTGTTATTAAGTGGCAGCACATAGGTACCGTTTTACTGGTGCTAGGAGTAAGTCTCCAGCCAGTGAAGAATCTCCCAAGATTTTAAGATCTTTGGAAAGGAGGCTGTCTAAACACACCTCCATGTGTTTTTCTTGTACTGCTATGGCAAATCTTCAGCTAATCCAAATTTGCATTCCCTTAACACCAGCATATCTTGATACGTATAAGTTGAATAGTGTAGGTGCCATAACAGAACCTTGATGGGAGGCTGTTTGTTTAATCTTCTTACCCTATGTTGTGATTATATTCCCCCAACATGCTAAACTTCACATTAACCATCTGTGCTTAAACTTGGATTGCTATGTAAACTCAGTATACATGAAAAACTTGCAGGACATCATGCAAATTCAGGAAATTAATTTGTATAAACCACAAGCTTACTAAGGTAGTTCTTGATTTCAAACCATAACTGAGACCTGAATTTCTCTTGTTTAGCAAGGTGGTGGTTAAGTGAATCATGTCAAATTTTACATTTTTCTTATGGTTGTTAAGCAAATCACTGCAGTTGTTAAGTGAATCGTGGTGTTTAGGTAAACTTGGCTTTCCCATTGACTTTGCTTGTCAAAAGCCAACTTGGAAGGTTGCAAATGGCAATTATATGATTCCAGGATGCTACAACCATTGTAAATATGTGCTGGTTGCCAAGCACCCACATTTTGATCGCATAACTATGGAGATGCTGCATCAGTTGTGTGAGGACCAGTTTTAAATCAGGTTTTTTTTAGTGCTGTTATAACTTTGAAAGTCAATAAATGAATGATTGTTGGGTAGTCAAGGACTACCTGTATACATATGTTGAGCAAAGAGGCAGGATCTCATTGCTTCATAATCACATCTAAAAACTGAACAATTAAATTTTGATAGCACTTGTTAAAGGAGATTTAAGAACATAATAGCCTGTAAATAAAACAATCAATCTTGAAAACAATGAAAACAATAAAACAAAAACCCTGCACTGTAATCATGCCCCTTGGCATGCCCCACAGCAGGCACAGCCAACTCTCCCTCCATATTTTCTACCCATACACTCTCACAGCCTCAGGAAAAAGCCAGGTTTTCAGATACTTCCAAAAGACTAAAGGATAGGAGCCTGTCGAATCTTGGACAGGCCTCCACCCTTTCACAAGATAGAAGGCAGGGACAGCCATGTCAAAGAGACACTTCCAGGTACTATTATATGGCAAAATCTCAGGGAGAGGATCTGGAACAGGCCCACCCTATCTGATCTAGTGGGATAGACAGATGGATAGGGAAATATAGTCCCGCAAATCATCAGGTTTCATGTAAGTAGACTTTAAAGATAATAACCAGCAACTTGAACTCTACCCAGAAAAAAACTGGGAGCCAGTGCAGCTCACACAATAAAGGTGTAACATGGGCGCCCAATACTGTGTCCGTTACTGCTTTCTGGATCAGTTATACACTCTGAGTGGTCTTCAAGGGGAGCCTGATACATTGCCGTAATCCAGCCAGGGGAGGGTGACTAAAATCTGAATGACTGTGAGCAAGGCCTCCCAAACAAGAGCACAATTGACACACAAGATGAATCTCGGCAAAGGATCCCTAGCCATGGTTGCCGCTTCTCATTAAGCAGAGCCATGAGTCCAAAAGGAGCTGCAAATTGCATACCAGCTTGGTCAAGGGAAATGCAGCCCTCCTCAGAGTCAGAGTTGAGAACTCATCCGACCCAGGAAGGTTCCAAAACCCTAAACTACTCCATCTTGCCAGAGTTGAGCTGAGGTTAGTTCATCTCCATCCACAAACTGATAGCTTCCAGGTCAGCCCTGCAACAGCATCATTTGCCTGGCACAGGATGTATAACTGAGTACCACCAGCATACTGACAATTCTGTACCCAGTGCCATTGGGTGACCCAACCGTTGCTTTCATGTGGACCTTAAAGTGAGGGAGAGACCTCATCCCTGAGGCATCCCAAGCTGTGGAGACCTAGGGTGTGACCACCCACCAGTTACAGTTAGCCATGGAGAAAAGAGAACCACCAGAAAACCATGCTTTGCAGTTCATTCCAGAATGATATCATGGTTTATGGTATCAAAAGCTGCTGAGAAATTCAGAACTGTTGTACCACCCCCATTCCAGACACTCCAAAAGTCATCAGGGATCATGATCAATGCCATCTTGGTGCTATAACCCAGCCTGAACCCCAACTGAGAAGGGTCCAGACAATCTGCTTTACCCAAGGCCCTCTGAAGCTACATGCCAGCTACCTTCACAACAACCTTTCTCCAGAATGGGAGATTGGAGACTGGATGAGTTATCTACAATGATTGGATCCAAAGATGGCCTCTTGACACGGGGCTGTACCATTGTCTCCTTCAAAGCAGGTGGTAGTACCCCAATTCGTAAAGAGGAATTAACTACCCATTGGACTCAGCCATATGGCACCTTTCAGAAGGCTTTAACCAACTTGTACCTGAGCAGTGTTTAATCACGGTTAATTTCACCATCTTAGCCCAATTTTCTAAAATCAAATTCTCTGAATTTTAATTGCATCATCTGATTTACAAATTTTAGATTTGCTTGTGTGTTGGTTAAGCAAGGATGTTTTATATCACGGGTGTCAAACTCACTATCACGTGATGTTTCGCGACGCTTTTCCCATTCGCTGGAGAGCTGGGGAGGGCATGGCCTGCGTGTGATGCATCCAGCCCATGGACTGCCAGTTTGACACCCCTGTTTTACATGGTAACAGTTGAACTTGCTAAAGAATTAACCAAGCAAACGAAAATAATAAAGGCAAATAAAGATAAAAATGCAGGTATTTGGTTTAGTTTTCAATCAATAGAACTCTACAAACTCTTATAATCATGAACAAGGGATACTGTAACCTAATTTATCAGACATTTAATTATTAAACTATTTAAGTACCTATTTGAAGTTTCATGTTAGTTACTTAGTTATACGTTACATATATCAGCAGGAGCTCAAATCAATAAAATCAGAATGAAGTTGTCTTCAGTTGCTTTGTAATCCCTTAGATATGCCACAAATCATTTCCAAATAATATTTACAATGCATATACAACTTATAACTATGAACAACATGTTAGCTAGAAGGTCACATAGTCTTTATGTGGCATGTGAAGGGTTGCTTTCTGAAAGTAAGTAGGGAAGAACCCATTTTTACTTATTGCTTTCAATTTTAAAAAGGCAAGTTAGGTGTCTTAAGAATATGTAAGTTATATTACCCTTTGGCCCTTTAAAAGTAGCACATCAAATCCCAACAAGCAAAAAAAAAAAAAGCTAGATTTTTGACCTTTATGATGAATGAAAGATGTTGGTGATCCAATTTTTACAGATCTTAGCATAGCATTATAGAGAAATCCAGCATTGGCTTTAAAATTTTGTCCTTACAATTATTGATTTTGTTTGCACTATGATTAACCATGGTTTACTTCATTTCTTGGGTTTGCAGAATTAATCAAACCACTATGTCACGTGAATCATACATAATTAAGCTACACAGAAGCCAAAAAATTAACATGAGTTACCTAACACCTCCCAGTTGTGCAGTATTATATCAGTGATTTGTAATTATCTTAATTATGAATTATTGATGTCAATAATGATATGTTTAATTATTGTTTTATATTTACTGGAACTTCAATAATAAAAATTAGAAAAGAATGCTATGTGTTCCTGGGAAGATTGTGAAGGTTACAAAATATGAATACTGAATATAAGTATACATTTATATATTTCAGTGCAAAATAACACAAAATATAAAAAACACATACATCAAGGAAAAAAATAATGTAAGTTTTTATACTTGAACATTCTTGAATATCCTGATGGTACAGTACTGAATGTACAACTGCATCCAGAAATGAGTTCCTTTTTCACTCATTGTGCTTTAATGTCACCAATCTTAACAACGCAGACTGTGCTGTCATCCAACAGCTTCTGTTTTAATCTTCCATGCCCATTTTCACTGCACTTCAGCAGATCAAAGAAACATGTTAACCAAAATAAAAATGTCAAAAAGGGAAGAACAAAAGCACACAAGCCTTATACAGTTTGCTTAGTGACAATTTGAAGCTGCAACACACTGAAAAAGGTGACTTATGACCGTTTTTCATACTTATGACTCTTGCAACATCCCCATGGTCACATGATTAAAATTTGGACACTTAGCAACTGGGTCAGATTTGTGATGGTTGCAGTGGCTCAAGATCATGTGATCACTTTCTGCAGCCTTTCTGACAAACAAAGTCAATGGGGAAGCCAGATTCACTTAACAACCATGTTATTATCTCACAACTGCAGTAGTTAACAACTCTAGCAAGAAAAGGTGTAAAATACAGTAATTCGCTTAACAAATGTCTCGGTTAGCAACATAAATGTTGGGCTCAATTGTGGTCGTACGTCGAGGACTACCTGTACAGGTATTTTATTTGTGATATACAGGTATTTTATGTGTACGTTTCATTTTTATCATGTGGATGTAATCAACCACTTTTGAAATGCCTTAGAAGTTACCGGGAATTTTATAATACTTATTTCATGTACAGACATATAGGCTATGTTTAAATAAATGTACAACTTAAACATTCCAGGAGAAGCTCAAGTAGCTCTCTCTTTTAATTGAGCCCAATTCATTGTGACTATATGGATGCTTTTATGCAGGGTTTTTTTTTTTTTGCCAAAACAGATGTGGTCTTCTCTGATTTAAAAAAATAACCTTTGCAATGTTATCTACTTTCTTGGAAGTCCGTGGTTTCCCTTACAAGTGCTAAGAAGGCCACTCTTGCTGCTGAACATAAAGGAGCTCTCTCTCCAGGGTGTAAGTGTAATTTGTACTTCAAGCAGTATCATGTGGTTTGCTGGCTTTGAGTTAACAATGTATAAACCCAGACAACCAAATTCAGCAAACCATGTCATAGCATGATTTGGAATGATCTCTCATTCCAAATATATTTTTCCAAAGGCCAATATCTTAATTACATTATCCCCGGCTGGGAAATAAGGGAAACACCTCCCCCTTCAGACACTTGAGAAGTCAATTGAATTCAATTAGCAAAATTAGTTTCCATAGCAACTTTCTAACCATCAATTTGCCTAACAAATAAATGTAGAGGATAGAGCTGCCCAACTGGTTTGACCACTTGACAGACCCTTTTCTTGGAGGAGATCAAAGACTGAGCTTATCTAGTCCAAGTCCATTTGTAGAAAGCATTCCTTTTTAGGAAATGGGTTGTTCTATGAACCAGTTAAAATCTCAGCTTATATCTTACTTATCATAAAATAAGGGGCTAATAACAATGAATAAATAGAGCAATGGAAAACATGTTATATTAAATGAATAATACCGTATATACATATGTTTTCAAATGGACATTCTTATGCAATAGGATTTGTCTTTTTTTTTTTGCCCTTATACTGTACATGCACAATCCTTCACAAAACAAGTTATATATAGTAGTTAATCCTGA